GAGTGCTAGTGAAATAACTTGACCACGCAGAACTTTATATATATACGTACACTGAGAAACTCGGAATAAAAATACTAAATAATAAAAAATACACGTTATATAAATACATACAAACTATATGTGTGCAACAAAAATATCCTGCTTTCTCCTTCATTCTTTTTAGAATTATTCACTAGGCAAAATACAATATACTGCTCAGTATCCTGTACAGTATACTGTTCAGTATCCTATATAGTATACTGTTACAATGCAGTACTATACTGTAGAGTAGCAGTATATTATAGAGTAAAAGTATGCTGTAAAGTATACCTTAAACTCACATTTCTTTGATGGTTTACAATTCTTTATACGCTGATACAAAGGTACTCTAAATCATTCCCCATGTTTGTATTGAAACCATCATCATTGTAGATAGAATTTATTCCAGCTGTATTTGTTAGAGAAGCACTGTCTTTGTAGTTCAGGCTACACCCTCTGCCTGAGGAAGCACATGCTGCTGTTCATCTTATACTGTGGTTTCTTGAACCTGAAGTTATTGCCTCCTTGTAGGAGTCTTGTTGGACATTAAAAAAGTGGGTTGGATTAACAAGATGTGCTCTATTATCATAATACAAGACTTTAATAATATTAAGTTATATAAAGTCATACTATTTTGTTTATAGCTGTGCCACATGTATTTATATTTCTTATAAAACTGAACTTTTTCTATTAAAGAATAGAAAAAAATCATCCCAGAATATGGCTAACTCATTCCAGGAAAGGCTGATGGCCTTACAATTAACAACTCTGCCAATCAGATACATCAGAGCTCATTACATTGAAACCTTGAAAATACTGAATAAGTTAGAAGACGTTAATCGAGAACACATCTTTTAAAAGATCCAATGTGACTTGCACAATGGGCAACAGTTACAAGATCAACAAACCACACTGCAGGAGAACCAACAGGAAGGGGCTTCTTCCCCCTCACATGGAAGTAATCTCCCAGAATCTTGTACACACCACAGCTATAAATATCACGCCAGTGCTTGAGACCAAACTCCAGCTGGAGAAAATCCTGAGGAATAACGGGGATGACTTTCCACAAGCCACTAGCTTCCAATTCCCATCTAAGTCACTTGAAATAGTGTCCTTAAATATATACAAGTACAGTATCTCAAAATAAATTATAGGTTTTTAAGAATCAGCCTTGGTGGTAGAGGAACTATGATACAAATATGAACATCCTTATAGCCAAAGAACTCGACTGATGTTTGATTATGAAATAATTTATCAAAGAAATGGGTATCCTATCACAGTTATGACATTATATGTCACTATTCTCTATTCACTCAACCCTTACAGTGCCCCTCAAATCTGCTCTATAAATGTATTCTCCTAAACCAATAGCAATACTCAAATATAATATGTACAATATAAGCATTAACAACTAATTGTGGTTCACGACAATCCTGCAATATTCGAGGATTTTATCATTCATTCATTTTCATTATATCACCAAGATATTAATTGATTGTAAATCTCATCTCATAGCCAGTATATGCTTACATTTCAGTATTTTAGTTACTCCACTGTTCATTATCACTGCCAACTGTTAATGGGTTCCTTTAAATACTTCTTTAATAATATTTGGAAACAACCTGGTGATGCCCCCTGGTGATATTTAGAGCACTATCATTTAGTAATAGTGATGTCTTATGAACAAATCCACAAGGGCAGTGACGAGGATTCGAACCTGTGTCTGGGAGCATCCCAGACACTGCCTTAATCGACTAAGCCTTAATCTTGTCACTGCCCTTGTGGATTTGTTCATTTGATGCATCACGTTAGTGTGATCTCTGTGTGTGATAGTGATGTCTTAATAACTCGAGTGACACTCAGCAGTCACTTACACGTATCATTCCTCGGTGACAACCATCGCCACCACCATCACAGTCTGGGCTTGGTTGTCACACTAGTATTGCAGTATTATTGTAACCTCTCCTCCCGTATCACGTGTGGGTATACCTTCTCACCACAGCTATAAATTAAATTAAACCCCTTAATCATTTCATTAATCACAAACACAAATCTTTGTATCGAACCAGTTATTGCTATTTGTATTTACATTCATTTAAATGTAATTGAAAGGAGAAGGAAGGAAAACTTTTAACTACTATATATATAATGCAAAATAATGGCTTGATTAACACATGTAATTCCATATACTTAAGACTTCAAGATTTACTGGCAAATACTAAGATTCCTAATATATATATATATATATATATATATATATATATATATATATATATATATATATATATGTCGTACCTAGTAGCCAGAACTCACTTCTGAGCCTACTATGCAAGGCCTGATTTGCCTAATAAGCCTAGTTTTCATGATTTAATGTTTTTTCGACAACCTAACCTACCTAACCTAACCTAACCTAACTTTTTCGGCTACATAACCCAACCTAACCTATAGAGATAGGTTAGGTTAGGTTAGGTAGGGTTGGTTAGGTTCGGTCATATATCTACTTTAATTTTAACTCAATGAACAAAAATTGACCTCATACATTATGAAATGGGTAGCTTTATCATTTCATAAGAAAAAATTTAGAGAAAATATATTAATTCAGGAAAACTTGGCTTGTTAGGCAAATCGGGCCATGCATAGTAGGCTGAGAAGTGAGTTCTGGCTACTAGGTACGACATATATATATATATATATATATATATATATATATATATATATATATATATATATATATATAAAATGTTGTACCTAATAGCCAGAACACACTACTTGGCCTACTATGCAAAGACCAATGTGCCTAATAACCCGAGTTTTCCTGAAGTTATATATGTTTCTAAAAAAATTCTTATGAAATGATAAAGCTTTCCATTATATTATATATGATTTAATTTTGTTTGAGTTAAACGTAGAAATATGACCAAACCTAACCTAACCTAAACTAACATACCTAAGTCCGTAATTTGTGTTCTTAATATTATTAATCCAAATAAATTCAGATATTAATTCAAATCCAATAAATTAATCCAGGTGTATCCATTACTATTACAGCTAAGCCACACTGACTGTACAAAAAAAAAAATTGGAAGTCGTCTGACCCTTAACCCAATTCCTGATAGCTCTTCAAATCCCTTCATCATATGTATGATAATGAAGTGTATATATGAAGTATCTGAGCCTAAAATGGTCACCAAGGAATTTTGGTGGACGTCAGGAATAGGGTTAAGGGTCAGATGACTTCCAATTCTTTATTACTGTCAGTGTAGCCAAGCGGTAACAGTACTGGACATGCCAAGGGACAGGGAGCCCTGGCTGTCTGGGTTCGAATCCTTCAGGGGTAAAGAGTTTTCTGATGCATGTTAGCTTAGGAACCATTCAAGCTTGATGCGTGCACACACACACACACACACATATATATATATTATATTATATGATAGGGAAGGGAGTACCACTTCTGGCTGGAAGAAGGGGACCATTAGCCTCGGAGGAAACCACACATAACGCATTAGAGGATTATATGATTATATATAATATTATATATATTTATATATATATTATATTTTACACACACACTAACTAAATATAATATATATATATATATATATATATATATATATATATATATATATATATATATATATATATATATATATATATATATATATGTGTGTGTGTGGGGAAAAACCACATGTGAAAAATAGAGAATGCTAAACGCGTTTTCGACTCAATTCGCCTTCATCAGAGATTTTAGAATGAAGAAGAAAACGTGGATGGCAACCTTATATCCGTCAGGGCAGGTCTCCTGACCACCAAAAAGAATCTCCCAAGTCTTAGCCACAAATAAAAAGCTTGTTGGTATTACCATATTTTGATGAACTAGTATATCTTGCCCCAGCCCTGATAAACCTTAATATTAACCCAGTGTTCAAAAATAATAATACAGTTAAGTCCTTGTTAATTAAGAACTCGCACTCGTCTGTAGTAAGTTGTGTCTACTCCATCCCTTGTAATGATTGTGCATGTGTTTACATCAGCCAGACTGGTAAATCTCTCTTATGTTTAAAACAACATTAATACTCTATTTGTATAGTTCAGCACTCCAGTGCATTGTATTTACATTCCAGTATGTGATCATTCTATCGACTTCAGAGGGGCAAAATGTATTGTTAAAAGTAAGGGTTTCGTTGAACGAAATGTGATTGAGTCTGCTCTGATCAAACAATGTAACAACAGCCTTAATGTAAACCCTGGTATGTACAAATTAGATCCCAATATAGGCTTCAATATAATATAGCACGTCAATACAATATAGCATTCATTTAACCCCTTTTTCATCCCCCTTTTATCTGTGGGGATCCCCTTTCTTATTCTTGTATATAGGTTAATAGGCCTTTATTCTTATGTTTTTGGTGGTCAGGTGACCTGCCCTGGCGGATATAAGGTTGCCATCTACATTTTTTTCTTCATTCTAAACTGCTCTGATGAAGGCGAATTGAACCGAAAACACATTTAGCATTCTCTATTTTTCACATATGATTTTTCCGCATACTTGTATCAGTTTTATTGTGATCATTGATGCATATTATATATATATATATATATATATATATATATATATATATATATATATATATATATATATATATATATATATATTATATTTATATATTTATTTATTTATTTATTTATGTATGTATGCATGCATGTGCATGCATACATACATACGCAGACACACAATCATATAAGTATAAATGCCAGAGACAAAAATATATAACTTACCTTGCTACAAGCAGAAAAATGCATCATGTTTGCACTCAGTACAGCTAGCAGGACAAGGTGACTAGATACAACAGCTGATACTACTAAACTAATAGGCTTCCACAACCAAATATTGACACTAAACACACTGATCTTTCAAAGCTTGCCTGACAGTTTTTGGCCTTCAAAAACAAAATTTAAGGTCACTGAGAATGTCAAAAGTATGAGGTTTTAGTTTCTACAAGCTAACACCAAACAAAGTCCCAGAGTTGGGTCACAGCAATGCTAGGTCAAAATGATCATATTTTAGATATCATAGGCCAAAGTCAATAATAAAGCATGTAGTTTAAAGGTGTGGTCTTCTGTACTAACTGCGAGGAAACATTTCTTAATACTGTGCTTATTTACAATTGTGACTATGAACAGGTTATAATTAGAGGTTTCCAAGGAATAATGATTATTCAAAGAATCAGCATAATGATAGAACTGTCAGTAAATACAGCAGTCAATAAAATAGTCATTACCAGGGCCTCCAAAACCTATGAACCCCGTAGCAGGCCACAGGTCCATAAGAAACTTTTGCACATTTTTGACTTTGACAAATACTGTACAACAGTGCTCTAGTGCTGTCAAAGGTAAACAAGAAATTCTGTATGAATTATTAAACAGTAACAAGTGTGAAGTAAGTCTACTACCAATCTGGCCTGGATACTGTATTAGCTTCAAAGGCTCCTGTGGCACAGTGGTCTACGTTGTTCACTCACAATCGTGGGTCCCAGGTTCAATTCCCAGGCAGGACAGATGGCAGGGTATATTTCCTTTTATATGATGCATCTGTTCACCTAACAGTAAATAGATACCTGGGAGTTAGGTAACTTGTGGGTTGCATCCTGGGGAGGGTCAGTAGTTGGCCTAGGAGGAGACCTTGATTAACCTAAATACAGGCTTTCTGTCTCTGACAATGGAAATCAAGCCAAAGGCTATAGTCAGCAAGTATCAAAAGGAAGAACAAAGCCCAACGACCCCTAAAATGAGACTCTCCATAAGAGAGACCAACCCCTATAATGAGACACTAGGCCAAGACCAACCTCTATGAGAACAGCCAAAGAAGTTGCTTTACTGCACAGCGATATTTAAACTTTCCCTGCTATACATTGTCTAAATATTTGACATTGCCTATTATAGTAAGACTGGCTGTCAACTGCACGGTGTAAAATGCTTCTGGTTGGCCTATAAACACTCCTTCATGCTAAAACTTCCAGAAATTGACTTTTCTATGATATCTACTGTACTACAAAAAAGTATTTCTTTATAATATATTACTAATTACATATTTAATACAGTTGTGTTTCATAACTGTAATATCCATAACTGTATACCGGTACAAGACTACAGTATTATATACTGGTATATTTAACTTTAACTTGATGTTGGAAATTAAGTATATTGGCATATACTCAAATTATCACACATTTATGCACACTGAAGATGGTGCAAAATGATATAAATATCTCAATAATGTGATATATCGGTGAGTAAATGGTTGGAGCAGGACTAGTGGGCAAGATGGGTATCGGGGGTGCCGTAGTACGTGCGTTGAATTCCACCGCTCTGCTCCAAAGATTTTCTCGTGACATATTATTGCTGGTAATAATGTCCAGCGTTATCACCACTGCTGGGACAACACTCCAGCATGCACAACTGTTTCGTCTGCACTGAGCATTCCGTACAACGCATAATATCCACCACATTTTCAAAAAGAAAATGCATCTTAATACTACTGTAATTTCATTCTCCACACACTTGTTATGTCCAAAATTAGGTTTAGTAAATTTGATATCTATGGCACATAATTTTTTTGAATCTCTAAATAGAAAAAGTTAATGAAATGTATTCAGATTACATTGCTTTGTTAATTCACTTATTTAAAAACATCTACACATCCATTTTTCTGTATGTTCATTTAGGTTAATGTGATGGAGAAATACTGTACTCTATATATTAAATATTATTTTTCATATAATTTACATTATTCACAGTTCTTTCTGTCTTAGGTTGCTCAAATCTTTGATTCCTCTACCCATCTGGGTCACACGTGCCTCACATGGAACTGGTCATCAGGTGTCTTCACTGGCCTGAGTTTCTCGGTCTCGGCTGGTCTGTAGGCATTGATGTCGTACTTGTCCCTGTGGTACCTCCGCCAGTAGTAGAAGATTAGAGCGGCCACCAGCAGGAAGACTAGCACCAGCGGTACAATGGTGAGGCACAGCTGCGTCCACTCCACTGGTAGTGCTGTAGAATGGAACATAATGTTGATTCAGAAAAGTGGAAGTGGGGGAAATAGGGGGGGAAGGGGAGGGGAGGGTAGGTGGGGGGAGGAATAAAAGGGGAGGTGGGAGGGGGATAAGGTTGAAGTAGCCCCCTTCACACCCCATGTGTGGCTGCTTTCTGCTCCATGTGTGTGTGGGGGCTGCTTTACACCCCCCACATGTATGGGGGAGGGGGCTACCTCACTCCACATGTGTTTGGGGAGGCTACCTTACTTTACCTTATCTTACCTTGCGATGATTTCAGGGCTTAGCATCCCCACGGCACAGTCATCGACCAGGCCTCCTCGTTGCTGGACTGGTCAACCAGGCTGTTGGACGTGGCTGCTCGCAGCCTGATGTATGAATCACAGCCCGGTTGGTCAGGTATCCATTGGAGGTGTTTATCCAGTTCTCTCTTGAACACTGTGAGGGGTCGCCCAATTATGTCCCTTATGTGTAGTGGAAGCGTGTTGAACAGTCCCGGATCTCTGATGTTGATAGAGTTCTCTCTCAGAGTACTTATTGCACCTCTGCTCTTCAACGGGGGTATTCTGCACAGCCTGCCATGCCTCCTGGTCTCATGTGGTGGTATTTGGTGTGCGCAGGTTTGTGACCAACTTCATACCCCACATGGGTATGAGGTACCCCACCAATCAACATGTTTGATGGGGCTACCTCTGTGGATGCATTCGAGGGATGCCCCTTCCGGGGGGGGGGGTGGCGCAGGCATTCGAGTCTTGTCTCCCGGCCGAAGCTTCTGGGTCTGACCAGTGGGCCCCTTTCTTCCAGCTTCTATGGCTGCTCCGTCCTTGTCTTATGGGGTCAGTGCTTGGGGAGAGGACTCGGCCCTGGGTCCTGCTGTGAAGAACCTCGAGGCTGGGGAGGGGCTGACTTGGGGGCCTTGGGTCCCGCTGGACCCCGCCTGGGATTTTCTTACCTCTGAGCAGGGCTTGTTGTTACAAGGAGTGGGGTTTTCTTCCCCCCCCCCCCTTCTGCGTACGAGTTGGATATGGTGTCGGCCCCTCCTCGGCATCGGTTCCGTGTTCCCCCGGGTGCATCGGTTCCGTCTTTCCGAAGGTTTTCGGCTTATCGCATCCAACCTGGTGTGGTGCGGGCGGCCCCTTGCAGCGTACCTCCTGCATGACCCGGATTATGCCTCGGAAATGGATCCGTCCAAATTCAGGTTTGGGACTTCGTTCCCTTTCTGGCTCCGTTACGAGGTTCCGGAGTCTTCCTAGCTAGCGGACTGCCCCTTGTTTGTTCTGGATTACTGGCATTCTTTCTGTCGTTCCCGCACGCTGGAGTGGCGGGAAGCTTCATTGGTGATTCAGGTTTTTCTGGGGGGTGATCTTGAGTACCTGAACGAGTGTTTGTTTGCCCCTGCCCTTCTCCGTGATGTGGGTGTTGTTCAGCTCCATGTGCAGTGGGGCACATGGAGCTGAAAAACGCAGCACTCGTAGTGGAGGACTTGCGCGCCCAGGGCCTTTTGGCTTCGGCCTTGCGGTTCTTTTCCCTCCTGGAGCTGTCCTCGGATTGGCTAGTGGAGGATGTCAGGACGCTTGGGTCCGTCCTGGGGTCTGGCGCCTTGTCCTTGGCAGCGCATTCGTCGGCTGCCTTGTTGAAGCTTTTCGCGCCGATTTTGCGGGATGCGGCTTCCCTGTTTTATACTTCCCGTCTCACGTGTCGGCAGGTGGTGCTGGGTTCCTCCGTGGAATCTGCTTGGGCTCTGGCTCTTAGGCTATCGTTGCCTTTTAGTCCTCTTCTGTTTGAGGAGTCGGCCGAGGCGCAGTTTATTCAGGCTGCGTCGTCGGCATGTCGTCCGATGTCGGACTTGTTGGTTTTCCGGGGGTCCCGTGGTGGGTCTTCCCGGAAGGGTCGTGCCAGGGCTCGGGGTTCCTCTCATCATGGTAGGCCACTGGTGTCAAGTTCGGGTTCAGCTCCTGCTTTGGACCCGCCCTCGTCTGGTATGCATGGTGTTCGCTCTGTGCGGGGTTCAGGGGTCTCGTAAGGGTCGCCGGCCCTTTCGCAGTTTGCCCCATTGACGGGGCGATGGGGGGGGGAGGGCTTGAGGGTTGCGTGCGGTTCGCCCACGCCAGGCATACGGTTTGCCCACAACTGGTGGGCAAACCGACGAGCCTCCCTCCCTTTTCTGGAGGGAGCCGACGGGGCTCCCTCCAGAAAACCAGCGTTGAATGTAATGAAACGCCATTTTCTGGGTGAGTCCCGGAAAATGACGGAGTGAGGGATGCCGGACCCAGCATCGCTCCCTCCCTCCCTCCGGTTGGTGTTTTTTTTGTGTTTTTGACATCCAGCCTCAGAACTGAAGTGTGGGTAGCCGGCGTGCAGGGTCTGGGGCTCCCCCTTCCCCCTCCCGGGGAGGGTGGAGCTGCGCAGACAGTGGTGCGGCAGCGTGTGATGTCACACTAGTTTGCTTGTTTTTTGTTGGGGAGTTCCACTAGTTCTGCTTTTGGTAGCAATTTTAACCAGAATAGGGGTTTGTTTTGAGGCGCTTACCTTTCTGGGTGCCTGATCCAGTCGATGGCAGACATAGAATGCTTCCAACCACATAGGGGTTTCTATAGGCTATTTCTCCCCTTGCCTCTCTCAGGGGGCCCGGTTCTGGCCGTGGTCCCCGGTAGGCCTAAGAACTCCATACACATGACTGGTGCCAAAGTCTGACATTAGCATATCAGCCGTGGGAAGCTCCGGGGAGCCTCCAGGACTCCCCCAGAAAATGGCGTTTCATTACATTCAACGCTGGTTTTTTATGCATCTTTATGACAAACAGGTGGCTTCTTTGATGGTGCCTCATCTGCATTCTTCTTTTCAGTGACAGTACAAGGTTTTGTGGTGTTCCTTTCACAACTTCCCTTCCCTTCAACATTGTTCTTTGGTTTCTAAGCATGTGTTGCTCTCCTTTCTTTCTTGGCTTTTTCTTGATCGGCATCTCATGCTGAATACTGTTGCCTTGTATGATGCATTGTTAGCAGAGCTACTGAAGCTTGCAATCACTGTCAATGCTGCCTTTGCGCCATTTTGCAGGCTGTCTTTTCTTTCTTTCACCTCTGGCCTGCTCATATGCCACATGAGCCTGTTGGGTCTTTGGACTGTAGGCACTTTTTACCTCTTAGTGTTTTTCTTTATGTTCTTTTGGCCTGTGGGGCACTTTTTTCATTTGCAGCCGGCTCCTTCTTTTATGGCAAAAAATGACTTGGTTGGCTTTCAGAAGGATCTTTTGTCATTGATGCTTGGTTGGTTTGGCTGAGGGTGCATAATGTGTTATTTCGGTTGCAACCTCCACCGTTACCCTTATGCCACTGATTCTGCTTTGGTGTGTGCTTTGTGGATTGATTGATTGTTTACATAGTTGAGAGCGTTCATTAGGTGGGGTTTGATGCTTTGGTTTTTTTTTTTTTTTTAATCCAGCAGTGGTTTGTTCTGACTTGCTGGCTTCCTAGTTGCTTTCCCTGGTGAGGTGGCAAAATGTCATCACTCTCTGTACCTCTGAAGGGGCCAAGTTCTGGCTCTGATCCCCGGTTGTCCTACACAATTCCCCGGGCTGATGAGACCTAATAAACGGGAACAATTTTTAGCCTCAGGAAGCTACTGGGGTTCTTCCAGAGATTGGTGTTACATCACATTCAATGCTTTATTTTTGGTACCTCCTTTATTCATGGACATCCTCTCTGTCCATGGTATCTTCCCAATTTAAAGATTAACTTAGTTTTTATTTAAAGTTTTTTAACTGTGAAAATTTAAGCAAAAGACAAATACTAGCAGCATGTGCTAATTCAACCATTAGAGAATTTATTTACAGATACCAATAACCCAACCCAAACATATGTTAAGAAAGGAAAGTGGCAATGTTTCAGCCTACACTGGACCCTAATATGGGCCCAGAACATGCAAAAAAGTCATCACTGAAAGTTTCTTTTCATATGTGTGCATTGGATTGTTTTCAACCATGCTTTGAGTTATACTTTGCACATATACAGATTCGAGACCATAAAACCAAATCTCTAACTAAAAGTATTAATATTAACTTCTTATTATAAGTGTGAACGTCAACATACTTTGCACAGCACTTTTGGTCGTTCCATCGCTAGCAGCTCTATGTTGTGAGAGGTGGTCAGGAGTGGACGTGTGGGAGTGTTGGTGTGTGGCTGGCAGACGATCTAGCGGCTCCCAGGATGTACTCTTGCCTTCATGCTGGTGATTCTGGTGGGAATGGCCACTGGTCGCAGGGTCTGAGGAACAGATCCAAAGCATAAATTTTGGGTTTCATAAATCAACAGGTAATGTTTTAATGCAAATACTTTGTAATGTATGTTGATCATTAAAAATCTCACAATATGGGTGTTATGTTAATTTTTTAATATTGTATCTTGCAATTAAATTTGTAATGATAATATCAAAGGAACAGTTTACTAGATACTTTGTACCTAGAAAGATAGTTTATACAACTAGTAATGGTATAATTGCCCTTAAATTTTATATAAATTTCATAGCATTTAAAAAGAAATCATTTTATATTAATATACCGAGGTATATTTATATACACTGTACAACAAAGACTCAGTGTTTTGGCAAGCAATTCTAGGGAAGAAAAATGTGGCTTAGTCATGTACATTGTATCACACACCCGTGATAAACACTGCCACTCGGGTGATCACAGCCAAGAGGTCCATATTATGACATCATTCGGGGACCTCTTCGTTGCCCCATCACCAGAATAGTAACATTATAAGGTCTTCCTTGAATGCAAGTCACCAGAATGGTAGCATCATAAAGCCCCCTTTCACTGCCCGTCACCAAGGAGACTACCATCCTGGTGATGTCCTTTCAGATAACACCACAACGCACAATTGGAGCTTTCTGGCAGTTTTACAAGTGATAGTCTCTCTTTGGGATAGAACATGACCTTTCATAACCAATCTCTGAACTGCATAATACTACTCCTATTCTGTAAGAAAGTGTCCTCATTTTTCATCGTCATCGCAGCAGTTTCTTCTCTTTCCGAGTTTCACAATTTGTTGTTCTACCAAAATTTTAACTAATGTGTAAATGATTATGATATGCCCACCCCTGTGAACAATATTGGCTCCTGAAATTTTCTGTATTCATATAAATACATACACATACATACATATATACATACATACACATTGTACACAGTATGTATGTATTTATTACATTTAATGTAATGTACACACATTACACATGTACATCACTTACATGTGTATGCATGTCTTTAAAAATTATGCTTAAGTTCTGTAATATCAACAAAAAACGAGAGCATTATTTATTTGTTTAAATTTTGAATGAATCAGTTAAATTCAAACACATGCAACCATGCAGCTTTATAGGGTAAAATTACACTTTTATTGTGTGTATGCTTGGCTGTATGTATGTGTATATGTATGTATGTGTATATGTATTTGTGTGTGTATATTATAATTATATATATATATATATATATATATATATATATATATATATATATATATATATATATATATATATATATATATATATACACACACACACACATATATATATATATACAGTGGTACCTCGCATAACGATCGCCCCAAAAGACGAACATTTTGGGTAACGAACGGCCCGATCGGCGTCAAATCGTCCCGCATGACGAACGCTGGTTTGAGTAACGTCAACACCACATGGTGGGGTCGCGCTGCTTCTTGCACATTCTTAGACGCCTCCGACGATGCACATAATTTATGTTGTTCTTGTTTAAAGATGCTAATGATGGTGGGATATAAAGGGGTGACTGCTGAGATGTTGCAAAGCATTGACGTTTTTGTAGGAAAAAAGAAATGAAATGTCTGATATACAACAAATGTCAAAAAGGTTCGTTCGGTGTTCGGCAGGTAGGCTGCTCCATGTTTCTTACATACAAAAAACGTAAATAATAAAAAAAATGAAGAATTTTGAAAACCAGTACAAATGTCAAAAAGGTTCGTTCGGTGGTCTACAGGTCGGCTGCTCCATGTTTCTTAAATAAAAAAAAAAAAAAAATAAAAGAACTGTTGAAACAATTTGAAAAATGGACAAATGTCATAAAGGTTCGTTCAGTGTTTGTGGGGTAGGCTGCTCCATTATTGAGACGTAAGTGACAAATACAAAACAAATGGAACACATTTGAAACAAAGAAAGATTGTCATAATGGAGCAGCCTACCCAACAAACACTGAACGAACCTTTTGCTATAACGAATATGAAAGACAAGGGCTGCTGGCTGGGTTAGTACTGCGTGAGCAACCATTTATGGCACACGCGCCTCTGGCTCTCAAACACCTGTCCCACACGGTGTTGAAAGACTGTGCTCAGTCGGTGCAATTCAGACCCTATTGTTTGAAGAACATAAGGGTCATAACATTGGTGAAGCTAGGCGCAATAAGGGATTAACACAACGGTCGGATGCCTGTGATACAGCACCTATGAGGATGATACAGCGAGCGTATCCAGGTGTAGCTCTGAGCCCCACCCTTGCCATCTCTAATGTATATAGATGATACATAGATGAATCGTTTTCTGCGTTCAGTGATGATGCATCTGATACAAGTAGCATGGATGAAGTGTTAGCGGCTTCCATGGTGGTGTTGTTCATTGATATTTTCAAGAATACCTGAATCTCTTCGTGACTGATGGACACTCTTTGAGGCTACCTGAATCTCTTCCTGTGTGGGACCTTACAAAGCGATCTTTTCAAGACTACCTTACAAATTGAGCTTTTCCTATAATCGTTTCAATACTACCTTATGCTTTACAAGCTTGGCTACATACCACCTACAAGTACTAAAGCTAAGGGTGCACACGAGTGTGTTATTTGCAAGCACACAGAACGATGAAACAGGATCGAAAATCTATCTGTAGCTGGTGCAAGGAGAGTAAAGTCGCGCTGTGTACCATGGACTACTTCGTTGACTATTATGCACCACCAAAGTACTGAGTGTGTAATACAGTGTGTTACTGTGTAAATAGTGTGTGAAACTGTACATATTGTAATTTTAGTGAATTTTTACCACGTAATATTGTGACAATAAACATTTATTGTAGACACATTACTGACACATGTATCACAGTTCCATGGAAAATTATGAACATTCTACTGTATACATATTGTAAAGGTCACAAATATGCATCATATACGATAAAAGAAACAAATAAAACCGCATTGGAAATGCATAGAAAAAATATTTGAAAATATATTTGTGGCAACACGCGGTGCTTGAATGGCCTGCGCGACCGTGTCTGGGAGCTTTACACACGGGCCACCAGCCCCTGATGACGTCACAGCGCACCTTGTCCACGCCCTCACAGTCAAAGTAAGTGGAATTTGGTAATTATTTTTACATAGACATGTTCAGGGACGGTAATTTATCATTATGCAAAGAAAAATTATATTTTGGGGAACATTTGATGTCATGCACTCTGGGGGAATTTCACAATAAACACAGTGCATCACACTGGTTACATGGGGGGACACTCGTTTTGTATGACGTCCGTTTCACATGACGAACATGGAACGGATTAAATTCGTTATGCGAGGTACCACTGTATATATATATATATATATATATATATATATATATATACACACACACACATATATATATATATATATATATATATACAGGCATACCTCAGAATACGAGTTTAATCCGTTCCTGGAGACGCCTCGCCTTCCGAAAACTCGCATTCCGAAGTTAATTTCCCCATTAGAAATAAAGGGAAATGAATTAATCTGTTCCTGACTACCCCAAAAACCCCACATCAAACTAAATTTTTATACCTAATTTACCTAATTCATCTAAATAAACCTACAAAACTGTGTTCCAGTTATTACTTACCTTGCTGTCGAGTGCTGTAGGCGTATGGAAGATGGTGAGGAGGGGGGAGGAGGAGAGGAGTTACTGTTTGGAAGGGGAGTCCCCTTCCATAATCACATCACATAACCCCATGCCTTGTAACACTATGGATACCACTTCTCTTCCTAAATTTTTCAAACCAGCCCCTGCTTGCCTTAAACTCTTTCTTATCTGCATCACTCGTTGCAGGGGTATTCTTTAGAAGGTCTTCGTGCAACACCCTGGCTTTCTCACAAATAATGGCCTCCGAAACACTATCACCCCTCAACTCCTTGTCGTGTATCCAAATTAATAACAACTTTTCCACTTCTTCAAGTATTTGTGGTCTTTGTGCCGTTAATGTTCTTACTCCTTTTGCCACTTAAGCACCCATAATCTTATTTTTCTTCTTAAGTATAGTGCATATTGTTGATGTGGCTTTGTTGTACTGCCTACAAAGTTCAACAACACGTGTACCGTTCTCATGCTTCCGAATGATCTCTTGTTTCTCCTCTATTGTCATCCTCACATGAGCTTTCTGGCCTTTATCCTTACCACTGGCTTTCTTGGGACCCATGGTGAGATATATAATAACAAATTGTATAGACAAATCACTAAAAATTCAACAAAACACTGAAAATCCGCGAGAAGAATTGATGTAGGGGTAGTCACTGAGCGCGAGACAATGGTAAACTGAGGGGCGGAGGGGCGACGATCGCCGAACCACCACGCGCTAGGTCGGCCTGTACGCGTATCAACAAACTCGCGTCCCGAAGTAACCCTCGACTTCTGAGACAAATTTTTGGAGTAAATACTGCTCGCCTTCCGAAAACCTCGCATACAGGGACAATCGCATTCCGAGGTACCACTGTATATATATATATATATATATATATATATATATATATATATATATATATATATATATATATATATATATATATATATATATATATATATATATATTATTGTTAAATATGACCGAAAAAGTAAGATGTATAGGAGAAAACACAAATTTTCTTAATATTTCTTATGTTTCTTTTTACTGTCGATGGTAATTGAAAAATCAATTCTCCAAAATTCATTTTTATTTCTAGTCTGACGCGATGCTTGAACGCGTTTCGTAATAACTTATTACATTTTCAAATACTTTAGTTTACACACACACACAACTGTTACAAATGTGTTTACACTACACATCAAAAAGTCAACACCAGCAATCAACAGCCAATTCAGTGTTTGTCAGGTAGGCTGTTCCATTATTGAGACGTAAATGAAAAATACAAAACAAATGAAACACATTTGAAACAAAGAAAGATCGCTATAATGGAACAAGCTACCCGACAAACACTGAACGAACCTTTATGGCATTTGTCTGTTTTTCAAATTGTTGATTTTTTTTTATTTTTTATTTTTCACTTTTTTTTTTATTTAAGAAACATGGAGCAGCCTACCTGCCGACCACCGAATGAACCTTTTTTGACATTTGTTCTGTTTTTCAAACAATTTTCTTTTTTCTTTTTTATTTTCTTTTTTTTTATTTAAGATACATGGAGCAGCCTACCTGCCGAACACCGAACGAACCTTTTGCTATAAGACAAACGAAAAAAAATATTGAACAAATTTGAAGAGAGAAAAATGTCATAAAGGTTTGTTCAGTGTATGTAAAGTTGGCTGTTCCATTATTTAAAACATCGAATATCATATTGATGTTTTTCAGGGGTAGAACGGATTAATTTGATTTCCATTATTGTCAATGGGGACATTCATTTTGTATGACGTCCGTTTCACATGACAATCATGGCACCAGAAAGAATTAAATTCGTTATTCGAGGTGCCACTGTTTCAGTATACATTTGTTTACTGAAACAAATGTTCCCTGTTTTGTTCTGTGTATGTGTGTATATATATATATGTACGTATGTATGTATGTGTGTGTGTGTGTGTGTGTGTTGTTGAATAAGATTATCCAACAATAATCGAATAAGATTAAGTTGAATAAGAAGGATAAGATTAATAATTCTAACATGAATCTTCTCAATATTTCTTATGTTCTTCTTCACTGTCGAGGGTAATTGATAAATTAACTCTCCAAAATTCATTCTTTATTCTATTCCATTTATTCATTCTAATAAAGCCTTAAGATCGATTCATAGGCCTAAGTAATCTAGAACATGTTACTTAGCTCATGAAAGGACAGTAAGGGATTCAGGATGTTTTTTCAAGATTGGGGATGGTTACTAAAGGTCTGAGGAAGCAAATGTGTGCCTCCTTGCATGCATGGGATTTTTCAATTCTTATGATACACTAACATCATCATATGTTGGCTGGAGCAATTTCGGGCAAACGAGTTTTCTCAGCCAGCGCAGCACAGTGCTTAAAGCATTTTCACATAATTTGTAGGATGTGTGGGACCTATTTTCTCCTATTCCACATTCCACAATGTGGCATTTATTCACATTGAATTCGATCTGCCAAATGTTGCTCCTTACACTTATTTTGTCCAGGTTATCTTTAAGGGCATGACAATCATCAGTCACTTATCTTCCCTAGTAGCATCATCAGCAAACATTTCATATAGTTCTGTATTTCTTCTGATATATCATATATATAGACAATGAACATTACTGGTGCCTGAACCCTGTGGTACTCCCCTAGTAACACTCCTCCAGTGTGATACATTGCCTCTGATTACTGCCCTCATCTTTGCCAGTTGGGGCCTGACGGCTGAGTGGACAATGCTCAGGGTTTGTAGTTCTAAGGGTTCAGGTTCGATCCCCGTCGAAGGTGGAAACAAATGGGCAGTTTATTTCACCCTGATACTCCTGTTCACCTAGCATTAAATAGGTACCTGGGAGTTAGACAGCGTCTGTGGACTGCTTTCTGGGGATGTGCGTTAAAAAAATTAGGATTAAGGACTTGCCCGAAACGCTATGCGTGCTATTGGCTGTACAAGAATGTATGAACTCTTGTATATACAGTATAAATAAATAAATAAATTAATAAATAAAAGTTGGATTATTTTTCATCCAATGTCAGTAGTCTGCCTGTCACCCATCTAATATGTTCCATTTTCCAGAACAATCTTTTGTGTGGGTCTCTGTCAAAAGCCTTTCTTCAGGTCCAGATAAATATAGTCAACACAACCATCATTGCTCTAGAATTTCTGTGGCTCCATTATAAGAACTAAATTGATTTGTCACACAGGATCTTCCTGTTCGAAAACCATACTGTATTTGTTGTCATTTCTTTCCAGGTGTTCTACCCATTCGGTTTTAGTTACTTTTCTAAACACTACACTACACTATTTGTTCATTTACATTTCTAGTGTTTTGACAACCATGCTTGTTAATAATACAGGCCTTTTTTGCATCATAATTAAGAGGGTCTTCTCTTCTACCATTTTTGTAGATTGGAACTATGTTAGCCTTTCTCTATATATCTGCTGCTATATATTTTTCCTGGACAAAAAGATGCAGAGAAATCAATTTAAATGGAATGTTCAGTTCAGGTGTATATTCTCTCAGAACCCGAGGTGAAACTCCATCTGGGCCAACTGCTTTGTTTCTATGTTACTCCTTGGGTACTATTATTTTTTTTTGTTCTACTCAATCTCTAAATACTTATATGTACAGTATACTGTTATTCTCTGAAATCTATTGTCTAGTTCTCTGAAAACCATATTTTGCACACACACACACACACTTTGGAACTGTTCATTTAGTGTTTCACACATTTCCTTTTCATTCTCTTTTCATTCTTCATGAATTTGTTCCACATTATCATCTTCTGAATTCTGTCTTTTACATGGAAATTTGGTATAAATTTATAGAATAGCTTGGTTTCATTTTTCATTTGTCCACTATCCTTTTCTCAATGTTTCTTTTTGCTTCACAACTCCCTACTGTATAGTTATTTCTTGTTTGTTTGTATTGCTGCATTCCCCCAGGGGTGCATGTGTGCCTGGACTCCCCCAGGGGTGCATGCGCGCCTGGACTCCCTCAGGGGTGCTCGTGTGCCTGAATTTCCCCAAGGATGCATGTGTGCCCGGATTTCCCCAGGGGTGCATGCATACCTGGACTCCCCCGAGGTGCACATGCACCTGGACTCCCCCAGGGGTGCATCCACACACCCCTGGATTCCCCCAGACACATGCCCCCTTGGACTCCCCAAGTGCCTGCACCCTTGGGCTCTCCAGGTACATGCACCCTGGGACTTCCCTGGCACACACACCCTGGGACTCCCTAGGTACACACACCCTGGGACACTAACACCATCAACTGAGTAAATCCAGTAATGAGGATTCAGTTGCATTGTATGACAAATATTTTCTCATACAGTACTAGATTCATTAAGTTCTTGTAATTTCATTGTGCTAGTTCAATCCACATCACTAACTAATGAATTAGTCCACCATCACACCAGTGTAACGAGCACAGCTTTTGAGCAGTGACCCATCACCACAAAACAGCATGCAGTAATGCTAAAAATAAAAATATTTTGTTCAACCCAGAAAAATATTGTCCAACCAAAAGCAGCAATTTATTCCAAGAACAATTTTGTCCATAAGAAAAATTGTGTTCAAGTTCAATAAGTAATAGACTGATCCAGAAATGTATGTAGGTTGTGTGTTGCTTATGTGCAGCTAAAGCTTGAATATAGGTCCAGGAAGATATATACAGACTTAAATAGATTATAAAAAGATCCACAAATATACATATAAATCCAGGAAGATGTATATAGAAAATAGAAATTTTTATGAAGGAAGAAACTTGCTTAAAGACTGATAATCCAGTTTAGGGTGAGAAAAGTAGATTCACTATTATCAGTGGAACTTGGAGGTTCTCGTGTTACTAGAACATCACGATAAACCATGGCGGGCATGTGTTGAGTGGTTTTGAAGCTTATTAAACTCAAATGAAGAACTACTTGACACGAAGAGGTGGATGCAAGTATAAAAACTTTCACTGTCACCATGGATAAGAACAAAATATTCAAGATTTATACTGGTTGAGGCATTATAAATATAATTAATAATGCCTGCTAGTTTTTAATCTTGGCCCTCATGAACTGCACACAAGTTATACTGTGTACTGCACAGAGATAAGTATACGGCATATGTGTAAAGAATATAGTGCACGTGTACGGGAACTTAGAAATCAATTCATGTGTACAGGAACTTAGAAATCAGTACATGTGTATGGGAACTTAGAAATCAGTTCATGTGTACGGCAACTTGGAAATCAGTTCATGTGTATGGGATCTTGGAAATTGGTACATGTGTACGGGAACTTGGAAATCACTACATGTGTAAAGGAACTTAGAAATCAGTAAATGGGTATGAGAACCTAGAAATCACTACATGTGTATGGGAACTTAGAAATCTATACACATGTGTACAGGCACTTAGAAATGTATTACAAAAAGATCTGCAAGAAGTTTAGAACATTAATCCAGGCTAAAGCAAATGTATATGTCATAACACAAATAATGTGTTACAGGAGTGGAGACAGGAACACAGATCACAGGATAAATGTAGAGAAACAGAGAGGCTCATGGAAGCATACAGTAGTATAGCAGGAAAGTGTACAGGAGCTAAGAAAAGTGTACAGAAATAAAAAAAAAAACGTGTTTAGAAGGCTAGAAAAATTGTACAGAAGCCAAGAAAAAGTGTACAGAAGACAAGAAAAGTGTACAGAAGCCAGCAAAAAGTGTACAGAAGCCAAGAAAAAGTGTACAGAAGCCAAGGAAAAAAGTACAGATGGCAAGAAAAAGTGTATAGAAACCAAGAATAGGTGTATAGAAGTAAAGCAAAATGCACAGAAGCATAAGTAACTTGGACAAATGTTTAATACAATAAAGAGTGGGAGCACATGTAGAGTAAGGATGGAGGGGGGGCGGCAGGGGGGGGGGATTGTGCATGCAAGAGGGGCAGCATGGTAGCACCTGTACAAGGTGGGCAGCATGGATGAGCAGCCTGGAGCAGCATGGTGGTGTCATCTTGACGGTCCGGGCAGGGTGCTCGGGGACACTGGGTTATGTTACACTGGGTGTAGCCATGAGCGATGCAGCTGCACGATACACAAGGTCCTCGTACCCACCTGGCACCTACTGGGTACATCCTGTGACCGTCGCTACACCCACTCACACCTGCTGCAACACTAGGACTTTTAGATACACAGCCCTCCTACTTGATTCATCCTATGATCATATACTCACTCACACCTTTAACACTAGGATGCATAGACACACTGGCCACAAAAGGGGACATTCTATGACTATTTCAACACCTTTTACAATTGCTGCAATGCTTTGACTCTTACAAACACTCGCCTATATGACTTGTGACACACACACACTAAGAGAACTGCAACATAAGCAATGTAGAAATACTGGCCCATGCTGCCAAATGTTGCCCATAACAAGTCACCATATTATGGTGTACAGTAGTAGTGGATGATACCATCCTCATGTTACACACACAAACTCTTGCCATTCTCACACCTCACCAATATCTTGTCACTTAATTTTTATAGTTATACTGTACTGTATTGGTATACTTTGTCAAGGAACGAAAGCCTGATATGGTGATCAAGGTCCCCTAGACAGGGATAGGACTACATATCACTAATCCTCATACGTGCAAAACCCAATGGTATTATACCTGACTGATTGAATCAAGTTCCCATCATTCTCTTTCCTATGCTATGGTGAAGTGTACATTACATTAAGTGTACCCTTACCATTCTGTGTTGGCATTATTTGAAAGTCACACCCCTTATAATTCAGAGTGGGAAATTCCTTCAAAACAAATACTTAAGGATCCTTGTTTAAAATATACATGTGCAGCTGTATTGCACAATGAGCAGACATCACTTTACCCTTACGAAGAATAAGTCATAACAATGTGGCTGAAAGAAAATAACCCAACCCAAACATGTGAAATGAAAAGAAAGGCAAGATATATAGCACTTGGAAAGGACATGAGGATAAGAATTTAAGATAGGATGGAGGGAAAGAATTGTGCTAATCCACTTGGACAGTCGGGGATTGAATACCGACCTGCAAGAAGTGAGACTGTTGCTCTACTGTCCAGTCCACATGGATGGACAAAAATTAAATGAAAGTGACAATGTTTTGGTCCATCCTGGGCCGCCCTTATCAGCTATAACTTGGTAAAGGTCAAGGACACAATGAAACATTGTCACTTTCATTTCATTTCACATAAGTCTCCGTGGCTTGGTGCCATCTTTTGATAATTACTGTACTTTCATTTCATTTGTTGTGTGGGTTTTTTTAGTGTACCCTTGTCGCACCCATAGCTCAGTATCTCTTTACTTGTAAGTCACTCTGTTAGCAAGTATTGAAACAATATTTTCATAAATACAGAAACCATTAATTTTCTTAATACTAATAAAATCATAATTAAATAAGAAAATGAACAGCTTCGTATAATCCTTTTCCTCAGATAGATTATTTTTTGCAGGCATAAAGCTCTGTTTGTGTGTCACATGGACAGTCAGGTTCAGTACTGATAGGTCTGGCTAGTAACTGGAATAGTGATGATGCAAAGAGCCTTGCTATTGGCTAGAGGGATCGCCATAAACTTTACAAGCTTCCTGTTCCGAATTACATTAAACCTTTATACCAGAATACATCAAGATACCATGCCTCCCCCCCCCCCACTCCAGCCCAGATACCCACAAATGTTAACTATATACTGTACATAGATTGTGGTGCTACTCATATTCATGGCATAGTAAATAAGGCAGAATCTTCACACACATATGTACACAAACTGGTTATGAGAGGTAGATACTTACGTGTGGTGTTGCAAGGTGGGTCGGTGTTGGCAGTGACATACACGCCACCACTCACACCTATCCCCACACCCTCCTCAACAACAAAGTCATCATTATCATGTGAAGCTGTGAACACAGCTAGTTTGGGGCTCTGGCACTGGCAGATGCGACAGCCATGGTAGTCTTGCGCCAGACCTCCGGGGCACTGGAGGTTGCACCTGCGCATGCTCGCACACTTGTGACATTTGCACTTACGGCACCCAATCATCTCATCCACCTACGGAAGAGTTGAAAGTTAGGAATACAGTTTGTACCGTACTTGCATAGCTCGTAGAGCTTGGGATTTGGGGAAGTTCTGATTTAGTAATGGGAAAGTCATGGCTGGGATAAGCTTGTATCTTGTCAAAAGCTTGAGGTATATAAAAGTGATCTTGGGACAAGACCTGTGACTTGGAAGAAGACTTGTGGATTTGGAAAAAATTTCAGTCTGCTAAGAGATTCTTGGTTTTCTGATTATCACAACATGCAAAATTTACACATGCTGTATGCTGTAGTCTGTAAGTGTCTTTGATTTTAAGATCATAGGAATACATAATAAATGAAACTGAAGAAGGCCTATTGGCCCATACAAGGCAGCTCCTACTTATATCCACCCAAAATTATTCAGATTAATAATTCATTGTGTCATGGGACTGGCAGCCAGAGTGTATTTATACATATGTTAGGCTTAATATAAAGGTCCTGCCCAAGATCAAATTACTGACCCCCCCCCCAGGATGCAACCCCTCCACAACAAGCTGCTTACCTCCTGAGTACCTATTTACTGATAGGTGAACAGGACAGGCCATTAGGTGATAGGAAATGTGCCCAACCATTTCTGTCCCACTTGGGAATTAAACTCGGAATTCTCGACTACAGTATGAGTCGAGAACAACCCAACTATACTACCAGGACACTCAATAGACCCTTTGCCTAACCTGCACTAGAAATAATCTGGTTATCTTGAGATTGAGGTTATCTTGAGATGATTTCGGGGCTTTAGTGTCCCCGCGGCCTGGTCCTCGACCAGGCCTCCACCCCCAGGAAGCAGCCTGTGACAGCTGACTAACACCCAGGTACCCATTTTACTGCTAGGTAACAGGGGCATAGGGTGAAAGAAACTCTGCCCATTGTTTCTCGCCGGCGCCCGGGATTGAACCCGGGACCACGGGATCATAAGTCCAATGTGCTGTCCACTCGGCTGACCGGCTCCCTGGTGATCCAACATCTGCTATGTTACTTGGTAATTTGTAACAAATTAACAACCCTATACACACACAAATCACAATAACGTGTTATATCAAATGGACAAATCGGGTTTGAACCCTCATCACGAGGGTTTGAATCATAAGGTTTAAACCCTCATCACGGCCCTTGTGGATTTGTTCATTAACAATCCTGTTACCAAAACAGTATTTACCCAGGTCTTTCCTGCATATCAACTTATATTATTTATATTCATTGTTTTGTGTCATATTTTGTGTTGATATACAGTATTTAATAACTTTTAACATTCCTTTGCTATGCCTTTTGATCCATTTGTACACTTCAAATATACAAATTGTATACCAGTAAGGGAAACTAGTTGACCATCGGGGGGCTTTTGAGTAAAGGAAACTTGTCGACCATAGATGATGACCACTAAAGCGTGGTCATCACTAGGCGGGAGACAATGGTAAACTGAAGCGTGCCTCACACTCGGTCAGCCCATACATGTATCAAGAAACTCACCAAGCAAGGCAAAGCTCGTAAACCGAGTTGAATTTTACAAAGAAATTGAGCTCATAAACTGAAAAATTCGTAAAGAGAGGCATTTGTCAACTGATGTTTCACTGTATAACACTTTGAAAGTACTGACGGTTTTGGCCTCCACAAAAGAACAAATCCATAGGAGCCTTGATGAGGGTTCGATCCTATGCGCTGGGTGTTCCCAGACGCGCTCTAGAACACTTGACTAGAGTGCATTTTTGGTAATTACCTAAGTGTAGGTATTGGATGAGAGCTACGCTCATGGTGTCCCGTCTTCGCAGCACTCTTTGTCATATAACGCTTTGACATAACCAGTACTGACGGTTTTGGCCTCTACCACCTTCTCACCTAACATGTTCCAACCATCTACCACTCTGTTTACAAAAATAAATTTTCTTATAATTCTTCAGCAGCTTTGTTTAGTTAGTTTAAATCTATGACCTCTTGTTGTTCCAGCAATATTTCTTATGCTCGCTGGGAGGGTGTTGAACAACCGTGGACCTCTGATGTTTATACAGTGTTCTCTGATTTTGCCTATGGCACCCTTGCTCTTCACTGGTTCTATTTTGCATTTTCTTCCATATCGTTCACTCCAGTACATTGTTATTTTACTGTGTAGATTTGGTACTTGGCCCTCCAGTATCTTCCAGGTGTATACTATTTGATATCTCTCTCGTCTTCTTTCTAGTGAGTACATTTGGAGGGCTTTGAGACAATCCCAATAATTTAGGTGCTTTATCGCGTGCCGTATATGTTCTCTGTATTCACTCTACTTCAACAATCTCTCCTGCTCTGAAGGGGGAAGTGAGTACTGAGCAGTACTCAAGACGGGACGACACAAGTGACTTGAAGAGTACAACCATTGTGATGGGATCCTGGATTTGAAAGTTCTCGTAATCCATCCTATCATTTTTCTGGCTGACGCAATATTTGCTTGGTTATGCTCCCTAAACATTAGGTTGTCAGACATTATTCCCAAATCCTTTACATGCTGTTTTCCTACTATGGGCACATTTGATTGTGCTTTGTACCCTGTATTATGTTTAAGGTCCTCATTTTTACCGTACCTGAGTACCTGGAATTTATCACTGTTAAACATCATGTTATTTTCTGATGCCCAGTCGAAAACTTTATTAATATCTGCTTGAAGTTTTTCAATGTCTTCAGCCGAGGTAATTTTCATACTGATTTTTGTGATCTGCAAAGGATGATACGAAGATATGTCCCCCTTCCCTTTGTTCTTTTTAGCCCCCTTCCTTTAAGGATTTTGTTGCTTTGTCTTTTTGAACCATTTCACTAGCTTTCCAGACCCTGACACTTTGTAGAAAAAAGAATTCCTTTCTTCATTTCTATAATATAAATGTTATTAAAATAATTTATGGAGTATTAAATAAATACTCCAGTTCTATAAATAGTGAATAGATTCCTGAGCCTATTGGGCTCTATCATATCTACATTTGAAACTGTATATGGAGTCAGCCTCTAAAGACAGGAGGCACTGTAGTTCAGTGCCTCCCGTCTGTCTCCCTTCTTGTATAACGAGACTACATTAGCCGTCCTCCAAATTTCTGGCATTTCTCCTGTTACCAGTGACTTGTTATACACCATTGAGAGTATAGGCACAGTGCTTGTGGGCACCATACGTGTATTGTAGCTCTTATATAGGGCTATAGGGGGAGCCTCTTTTAGTATCCATGGGTGAAATAGTGTCTGGGCCAACAGCCTGTGCTACATCCAGCTCAAGCAAATGCTTTCTTACCTCTCCACTGGTTGTCTCAAACTCCTCCAGTGGTATCTGGTTAGATAGTCCCTCTCTTAGTTCAGGAATTTCTCCTTGCTCTATTGTGAAGCCCTCTTGGAATCTCTTATTGTGACAGTATGTGCTGCTGGTGTGTCATGTGACTGTATGAGTGTGTGTGCTACTGGTGTGTTGTGCAAGTGAATGAATGTACTGCTGTATGTGTATGAGGTAGCCAGACATTTCATGTGTATGTCAGTACAGAATAGGTTTAAGTCTATATTTGTGTATACCGTATTTTAACAAGAATATTTTGTGAAACAAAATTTTTGTATTCTTTATCATACATTTACTGAAAGTGATTTTCATGTGATTTTGTGCATGTCAGTATAATATATACAGTACAGTATATATATTGGGATGGTGATGAATCAAAAACATCCATCCTATCTACTGCAAATTTAAAGCATAAATGTAATTTGTCAAATATTGTTCTCTACATGCCTGGGAGAACTGTGGGAGACCTGCTTGCCTCATCCTGACACGAACCTTATAGCCATGTAGACAGAGCTTCTGGCAGGGAGGGGAACAGAAGTGAGAGGAAATGGGGTGGTGGGTTTCATTGTCTCTGGCATCCTTGTCAGTTTTCTTCCCTGCCGCTTCCTGCTGACCACCTGAAATTAAGTGTCATGTGATTCACTCGCAGGATCTTGAAAGATGACGACAATTACTTACTGTATCACTTTATCCATAAAAAAACATAAAACCAGCATTGAATGTAATGAAATGCCATTTTCTGGGTAAGCCCTGGAGGCTCCCTGGAGCTATTGGACTGATATATGCTATATTAGTCTGTGGACATCAGTCATTTGGATTTCTGCCTACTGGGGACCAGGAGCCAGAACCTGGCCCCCTCAGAGGGGCACAGGGACCAATGGCCTATGGAAACCCCATGTGTTTGGGAGCATTCCATGTCTACCATTTACTGGGGTTAGGGACCCAGAAAGGTAGGCATAACAAAACAAACCCCACTTGGTAAAAAATTGCAACCAAGGACCGAACAGAGAGACAGAACCCCCCCCCCAAACACAAAGAAACAACCAAACAAGCAAATGTCATTCACTGCCGCTGTGCCACTTAAACACACAGCCCTCCCCTCCCCAGGAGGGGGAGGGGGAACCCCCAAACCCCTCATACCAGCTACTCTCACCGCCAGACTGGAGGCAGAGCATCAAAAACAAAACACAAACCACTGGAGGGAGGGAGGGTGCCAGGGAGCCTTTAAAGTTTACCCAGAAAATGGCCTTTCATTACATTCAATACTGGTTTTCTGTGGGGAGCCCCTCCAGCTCCCTGGAGCTACCTAACCAAAACCAATTAAAAGAGGGACTTGCCCAGGAGGCAGCCACCACGAGCACATCAACTCGAAGTCGAGACAACTGATACCTGGTTGATATCTGGTTGATGGGGTTCTAGGAGTTCTTCTACTCCCCAAGCTCACATTGCTTGACTTGTGAGAGTTTGGTCCACCAGGCTGTTGCTTGGAGCAGCTCGCAGGCCCACATACCCACTACAGCCCAGTTGGTCCAGAACGTCTTTTAGAAAACCGTCCAGTTTTCTCTTGAAGATGTCCACGGTAGTTCAGGCAATATTTCTTATAGTCGCTGGGAGGACGTTGAACAACCGCAGACCTCTGATGTTTATATAGTGTTCTCCGATTGTGCCTATGGCACCTCTGCTCTTCACTGGTTCTATTCTGCATTTTCTTCCATATCGTTCACTCCAGTACGTTGTTATTTTACTGTGTAGATTAGGGACCTGGCCTTCCAGTATTTTCCATGTGTATATTATTTGGTATCTCTCTCGTCTCCTTTCTAGTGAATACATTTGGAGAGCTTTGAGACGATCCCAATAATTTAGGTGCTTTATCACGTCTATGCGTGCCGCATATGTATGTATTCCCTCAATTTCAGCAATCTCTCCTGCTCTGAAGGGGTAGGTGAGTACTGAGCAGTACTCAAGATGCACAGTACAAGTGATTTGTATAGTACAGGGGTACTGTACCTCAGTTTAAGAGTTTAATCCGTCCTGGAGACAGCTCGTAACCCAAAAACTCGTAAACCGAAGCTAATTTCCCCATTAGAAATAATGGTAAATGAATTAATCCGTTTCTGACTACCCAAAAACCTCACTTCAAACTAAATTTTATACCTAATTCATCAAAATCTACACTACAAAACTATGTTCAAGTTATTACTTACCCCTTGCTGATGACTGCTGTTGGCGTATGGAAGATGGTGAGGAGGGGGGAGGAGGAGAGGTGTTACTGTTTGGAAGGGGAGTCCCCTTCCATTATAACATCAGGCAGTGAGGACCTCTCTGGGGTGCACTCTCTGGCACATTTTGCCTGCATACCACTAGGACCTGGTTGTGGCTCACTGCTCGATTTTCTCACAACAAAACGATGCATTGAAAATTGTTTTTCCCTTCTTCGCAAGATGTCTCTGTAGTGAGGCATCACATTGTCATCGAAAAGATTAATGCAACAACCTACTACAGCTTTCTCTGGGTGAGTTATCTCAATAAAAGTTTGCATTTCTTCCCACATCTGACAACTTCCTAATGGTTGCAGAAGGGACATCCTCTTCCTCCTCCATTGGAGAAATGTCCTCAGCTGTCTCTTCTTGCTGCTCCTTTTGAAGGGCTTGGAGTTCTTCGGTGGTCAGTTCTTCCATGTGTTCTTCCATTACCTCCTCCACATCAGCACCATCCAATTCCAAGCCCATCTTCCAGCCCAGAGTAACAATTTCCTCAACAATAGGCACTTCATTTAAAGGTTCAAACCCCTCAAAGTCTAGTTCTGCAACACATTCAGGCCACAATTTTCTCCAGCCAGAGATCAGGGTTCTTTGAGTCACTTCTTGCCAGGCTTTGTCAACGAGTTTTAAAGCACTACAAATGTTAAAATGGTGTTTCCAGAACTCTTTGAGGGTGAGGTTTGTGGCTTCAGTCACTTCAAAACATTTCCGGTAAAGTGCCCTTTCATAAAGTTTCTTAAAATTCGCTATGAATTTCTGGTCCATAGGCTGAATTAGAGGAGTGGTGTTAGGAGGAAGGAACTTTACTGTGAGAAAATTACTGTATCTGTTCAACAATTCATCTTCCAAACCTGGAGGATGAGCAGGAGCATTGTCGAGGAGAAGCAGGGCCTTAAGTGGCAAACTTTTCTCCTGCAGATATTTTTGTATGGCAGGGCACACCACATCATTCACTCACTCCATAAAAAAAAATCCTAGTCACCCATGCCTTAGTATTAGCCCTCCACATCACACACATTTGGTTTTTCTGCACTTTATACTGTTTGAAAACCCTTGGATTTTCAGAATGATACACAAGCAAGGATTTAATTTTCACATCGCCACTCGCATTTCCACACAGCACAAGCGTAAACCTATCTTTTATAGGCTTGTGTCCGGGTAATGATTTTCCTCCTTGGTAATGTATGCCCTCTTAGGTAATCTTTTCCAGAACTAGTCCTCTCTCATCACAATTAAACACTTGTTGCGGTAGGTATCCCTCAGCCTCTACAAAATCTTTAAATTCTTCAATAAATCTTTCAGCCGCTGGTTTGTCTGAGCTGGCAGCCTCCCCATGCCTCACAACACTATGAATACCACTCCTTTTTTTAAATTTGTCAAACAATCCCCTTCTTGCCTTTAAAGTCTATCGTATCTGCACTCGTTCCAAGGGTTTCTTTACAAGGTCTTCGTGCAATACCCTGGCTTTCTCACAAATGATGGCCCACACTATCACAAAATGATCTCACACTATCACCTGCTAACCCCTTGTTGTGTATCCAAATTAATAACAACATTTCGACTTCTTCAAGTATTTATAGTCTTTGTTTTGTGATTGTTGATACGCCTTTTGCCACTTTAGTACTCATAATGTCCTTTTTCTTGGCAAGTATAGTGCATATTGTTGACATGGATTTGTTGTGCTGCCTACAAAGCTCAACAACACGTGCACCATTTTCATGCTTCGAATGATCTCGTTTTTCCTCTATTGTCATCCTCACATGCGATTTCTTGCCTTGAACCTTACCACTGGCATTCTTGGGACCCATTGCGAGATATATAATAACTTTTATGCTCAAATGACCAAATATCCGACAAAACACTGTAAATCCTTGTGAAGAAATCAGGCGGGATTGTCTTTCTACTATGGGCACATTTGATTGTATTTTATACCCTGTACAGGGTATTATGTTTAAGGTCCTCATTTTTACCCTACCTGAGTACCTGGAATTTATCACTGTTAAACATCATGTTTTTTTCTGTGTTTTTTTATTATTCGGATTTTTCTTTATTTCCTGAACTGCTTTCTGTTCTAACTGCCTTTTTTCAGTTTGATATGAGTGTTTCAATTTCTGCTCGATTTCTTCAATCTCCCTATTTAACCCCTAAACTGCGCAACGAGCCTGCAGGCCCTCGACAGGGGTGCGCAACGTGCCTCTGGGTATTTATATTTTTAGCGTTCCATTCAAAACTGCCACGGCTACATGGGGTTCACATCAGCTTCCTCAGGGCTCTTGTAAACAGACGCCATCTTTAAAAAAAATCGTGGGCCACATTCCCGGGTGTGAGAGCCTCAGTACTGAGTGAGCAACCAAGGCCGGCACATGCAGCATGAGCTCACAGCACTGCTGTTCAGCTTGTGACCACAGCATCGCCTAATAATGTCAATATATATATAACTTGTATTATTTAGCCATGATAGTATTACAGAAGGGCCTGAGTGTGATAATGATTGTGTACAATGTTCAAATATCAGTGATTCAATGTTGTTCATGATGTTCACAGCACTAGTCACAGCACTACAGCATTATTTTGTCCATCTAGGAATCTTCAAACGACTTCTTAGGTTCCTTTACAAAATAAACTTGTCGTCAATTATTCATTTACAGGAATTAGTAACCAGGATTAGGCTTATTTTGTAAAGAAACATAAGAAGTCATTTGAAGATTCCTAGATTGGACAAAATAATGCTGTGGTGCTGCGGTCAACTTGTGGTCAATTATTCATTTACAGGAATTGGTGACCAGGATTAGGTTTATTTTGTAAAGAAACATAAGAAGTCGTTTGAAGATTCCTAGATGGATGAAATAATGCTGTGGTGCTGTGGCTAGCGCTGTAAACATCGTGAACAGCATTAATTCACTGATATTTGAACATTGTACACAGTCCTTATCACACTCAGGCTCTTCTGTAATACTATCATGTATAAATAATACCAGTTACATATATATTTTGACATTATTAGGTGATGCTGTGGTCACAAGCTGAACAGCAGTGCTGTGAGCTCATGCTGCATGTGCCAGCCTTGGGTGCTCACTCCGTACTGAGGCTCTCACACCCAGGAAAGCTGCCCACGATTTTTTTTTAAATGGTGTCTGTTTACAAGAGCCCTGAGGAAGCTGATGTGAACCCCATGTAGCTGCGGGAGTTTTGAATCATACGCTAAAAATATAAGATCCCGAAGGCACGTTGTGCACTCCCCGTCAAGCGCCTGCAGTTCAGTGGTTAAGGAGATTGACTCCTCGACTTTATCATCAGCTGATAAATAATAATCTTTTTATATTTCACCTTGGCAGGAAGACCTTAATATAGCTTCTATTTTGAATACAGTAAATATCACCTTCTATACATAAATATATAAAATACTGTACTAAGCTCAAGGAAAAAATAAAGACAAGTAGAGGAGGCAGAATGACACAGACACACATTTCAAGCTAAGGAAACAAAGGTGCTGAAAAAATACTAGAAAGTTTTCTTTTGCAAACAGAGTGATAGATGGTTGGAATAAGCTAAGTGAGGAGGTGGTGAAAGCCAAAACATTCAGTAGTTTTAGAGTGTCATATGACAAAGTATCGGGAAATCAGGACACCACGAGCGTAGCTCTCATCTTTTAACTACACTTAGGTACTGTAATTACTTATTATAAAATTAATTAATAAAATTAATATAATTTATCATCCTTCACAGGTATCATAGCATATACAGTGAAAGCAAACACTTACATGAATATTAAAGTATGTGTAATCTCTCGTATCAATTAATGTACATTACTGGCTTACTTTGTATGCTTTAAAAACTTCATGTACAGTTGCAGCTTCTATATATCACTTGTAAATACCAGCATGCTCCAACTCTCTGTTGCCTAGTGTACACCTTTACAATAATAAAAATAATAATACAGTAATAATAGTTGATAATTAAGACATAAGAAGGAAATTGTTAAGAGTGGTGACATAACAGGTACAGTGACTGCATTATATACAGGCAGTAATTACACACTGTTTCTAGCTTAACCTGGAATACCTTGTGAATCCAGCTTACATTAAGAGTAATACCTATCACTATACAAGAAGCAAACTAATATATACACATTAGTAAAGGAGTTTAGCAAAAGAATAGTTTTGAAAGTGATACTGTATAACTACTTCATATTTGAATCTGAAGTTTTAGATGTAAAGTAGAGTGAACAACATTATTTATATCCCACCTGCTCCTTCAGAACTGTGGAAGATCTTGTAGAAGTCGTCAGGAAGGCGGCCGGAACCTTCCGACAGGTCGTTGAAGTCCTCTTCGTCGTCCAGTGGCGGTTGACCTGAAGGTGGGGTCATGAACACCTCGGTCGGGCCAACTGTGGAGATGGTGGTGATTAGTGGTGTGGAGAAACAATCAGTGAGATGGAAATATGTCTGTCTGGTATAACGTAACGGGACTTGGTACACTATTGGTTGGCCTGGAGAATTATTTATAACAACAGTAGGTAACCCTCCCCAGAAGCAACAGTGTACTCCAGCACCAACACTACTCAACTAGTTGTGTTAGCAGGGGTTAAGCTTTAGCTCTTTCGTCCCACCTCTCAACTATCAATCAAATGATGAAAAAGTACTCCAGCACCACCATTGTGGCACTCCTGCACCACCACCCACCATCACACCTGGCGTACCTACCAGCACCACCTACCATCACACCTGGCCAGCCTACCACCACCACCACACCAGACCATCCCCCACCACCACACCTGGCCAGCCCCCCACCCCCTCCCCACCACCGCACCTGGCCAGCGCCCCACCATTACCACACCTGGCCAGCCCAAAGCACCACCACCACACCAGATCATCCCCCTACCACCACCACACCAGACCAGCCCCCCCCCATCACCACCACCACACCAGACCAGCCCCCCCCATCACCACCACCACACCAGACCAGCCCCCCCCATCACCACCACCACACCAGACCAGCCCCCCCCATCACCACCACCACACCAGACCAGCCCACCCCCCCCCATCACCACCACCACACCAGACCAGCCCCCCCCATCACCACCACCACACCAGACCAGCCCCCCCCATCACCACCACCACACCAGACCAGCCCCCCCCATCACCACCACCACACCAGACCAGCCCCCCCCCATCACCACCACCACACCACACCAGCCCCCCCCCATCACCACCACCACACCAGACCAGCCCCCCCCCATCACCACCACCACACCAGACCAGCCCCACCCCCACCACCACCACCACACCAGACCAGCCCCCCCCCCATCACCACCACCACACCAGACCAGCCCCCCCCCATCACCACCACCACACCAGACCAGCCCCACCCCCACCACCACCACCACACCAGACCAGCCCCCCCACCATCACCACCACCACACCAGACCAGCCCCCCCCATCACCACCACCACACCAGACCAGCCCCCCCCACCACCACCACCACCACACTAGAGCAGCCCCCCCACCACCACCACCACCACACTAGACCAGCCCCCCCCCCCACCACCACCGCCACACCAGACCAGCCCCCCCCCATCACCACCACCACACCAGACCAGCCACCCCCCCATCACCACCACCACACCAGACCAGCCCCCCCCCACCACCACCACACCAGACCAGCCCCACCCCCACCACCACACCAGACCAGCCCCCCCCCCATCACCACCACCACACCAGACCAGCCCCCCCCCCATCACCACCACCACACCAGACCAGCCCCCCCCCCCCCCCATCACCACCACCACACCACACCAGCCCCCCCCATCACCACCACCACACCACACCAGCCCCCCCCCACCACCACCACACCAGACCAGCCCCCCCACCACCACCACCGCCACACTAGACCAGCCCCCCCCCACCACCACCACCACCACCACACCAGACCAGCCCCCCCCCCATCACCACCACCACACCAGACCAGCCCCCCCACCACCACCACCACACTAGAGCAGCCCCCCCACCACCACCACCACCACACCAGACCAGCCCCCCCCCCCCCCCACCACCACCACACCAGACCAGCCCCCCCCATCACCACCACCACACCAGACCAGCCCCCCCCCACCACCACCACACCAGAACCAGCCCTGCACCACCACCACATCAGACCAGCCCCCCACCACCACCACCACCACACCAGACCAGCCCCCCTCCACCACCACCACCACCACACCAGACCAGTCCCCCCCACCACACCACACCAGCCCCCCCCCCACCTCCACCACCACCACCAGCCCCCCACCACCACCACCACACCAGACCAGCCCCCCCCCCATCACCACCACCACACCAGACCAGTCCCCCCCCCCACCACACCACACCAGCCCCCCCACCTCCACCACCACCACCAGCCCCCCCCCCACCTCCACCACCACCCCCCCCACCACACCAGACCAGCCCCCCACCACCACCACCACACCAGACCAGCTCTCCCCCCACCACCAGAACCAGCCCTGCACCACCACCACACCAGACCAGCCCCCCCCACCACCACCACACTACACCAGCCCCCCCCACACACCACCACGACCACACCAGCCCCCCCCACACCACCACCACACCACACCTGCCCCCCACCCCCACCAGCCCCCCCCACCACCACCACACACCAGCCCCCCACCACCACCACACACCAGCCCCCCACCACCACCACACACCACACACCTACCATTACAGTAGTGGTAGAGGCAGCTCTTCTCGCCGTGAAGACACCGGCATATTTCACAGCGGGAGCCGTCGTTGTACCAAGTCTGGCCGTGTCTCTTCACGCCCTGCAGCTCCCCGTGCACGTTGTAGAGCGGACAGTCTGCAACAGTGAACCGTGCAAGTCATGGTGGGAGTATACAACAGTGAACGGTGCAAGTCATGGTGGGAGTATACAACAGTGAACGGTGTAAGACATGGTGGGAGTATACAACAGTGAACGGTGTAAGACATGGTGGGAGTATACAACAGTGAACGGTGTAAGACATGGTGGGAGTATACAACAGTGAACGGTGTAAGACATGGTGGGAGTATACAACAGTGAACGGTGTAAGACATGGTGGGAGTATACAACAGTGAACGGTGTAAGACATGGTGGGAGTATACAACAGTGAACGGTGTAAGACATAATAACATAAGAATGAAGGTAACTGCAGAAGGCCCATTGGCCCATACGAGACAGGTCCTCCTTACATCCACCCACTCTCACTCCCATACTTGTTCAACCTACTCTTGAAACAATCAAGGGATTATATTTCTATTATGTTACGCGGTAATTGGTTCCACAATTCAACAACCCTGTTACTTTAGATTTAGTGTTAACTAACAGGGAATCACAAATGAAATTACATCGAAATAGGGAATAAGCTAGGGAACAGTGATTACAAAAAAGCAGATTTAGCATAGAATGGAATAGATCTGTAGGAGAAAGTTCTGTGAAAGTGCCAGATTTTCGAAAATCGGATTTTAATAGCCTAAGAATTTTTGGGGGGTCAAATAGATTGGAAAGTCTTGGCCATGGGGTGTGGGCCAGTCTTGGAGCTAGACGTGAACCCAGCGACAGGTGACGTAAAAGGGGATTTCGATGTGGATTCAAAATATAACTTACTTAAAAATATTCTAAAAATATTCTAAGCAAAACACAGGAACGTAGTATACTATACAAATTGAATAGATCGAATACTAATGACCCAAAATGGATAACCAATAATCTAAAGAACTTTATAGGTAGAAAAAGAGCTTGGTGCAAAAGGATTAAGAATGGGGAAGTTAGTTTAGAACAAGAATTCGTCCAACTGGTAAAGAGGGCAAATTCAAACGTTTATTCAGGTAAAGTACATACATACAAGGAGTGATACAAACATTGATGGATTTATAGATAGAGCTAGTACATATAATGCCTAAAGCCACTATCACGCAAAGCGTTACGAGCAAGACGTTCTCAAATGTTCTTTTGCCCTCCAACTGCAGGGCAAAAGATAACTCTGAAGTTTCTCTTGGTTTGAAGTCTCCCTTGCTCCTTCTCTCCCTACATCTGTTGATTTAAGCGCATCTGGTATCTCCCCCATGTCCAAGCTGTTCCTCCACACTATACTGAGTGCCTGTGCTACTGGCATTTTGCTTTTCTTTATAAAAATTGAATTCCATGAGTCTGGACCCGGGGCCGAGTGCATGGGCATATTGTCAATTTCCCTTTCAAAATCTGTCACGCTCGTGTTGATATCAGTTATATTTACAGGGGTTTGGATATTACCCATAAAAAAGTTGTCCAGATTTTCCACTTTCATGCTGTGTATTAGAGTGATCAACATGTCCTCATAATGTTTTTTTAGGATTTCACAAATTTATTTGTCATCCTCAGTGTATGAACCCAGTGTATGAACTATAGGTTGTGTTCTTGTCTATGTCCGATATGAGGATGAGACAAAGTACAGGAGCAAGCACAGTACCCTGGGGGACTGAGCTCTTCACGGTTGATGGTCCGGATTTTATTTTGTTGACTATTACACATTGGGTTCTGCTAGTCAGGAAATTGTAGCTCTATCTGCCTATTTTTCCGGTAATTCCTTTTGAACGCATTTTATGTGCAATAACACCATGGCCACATTTGTTGAAATATTTTTGCGAAATCTGTGTAAATTACATCAGCGTTTTGTTTGTCTTCCATAGCATCTAATGCCATATCATAGTGGTCCAGCAACTGTGACAGGCAAGAGCGCCCTGTTCTGACACCATGTTGTCCGGGGTTATGGAGATGCTGTGATTCCGTGTATTTTGTGATTTTACTTCTTAGCACTCTCTCAAAAATTTTTATGATGTGCGATGTTAGTGCTATTGGTCTGTAATTTTTTGCTTCTGCCTTATTTCCTCCTTTATGGAGTGGTGCTATCTCTGCTGTTTTTAATATGTCAGGGATAACGCCAGTATCTAGGCTTTGTCTCCACAGAATGTGAAGGACCTGTGATGTTTTTTTTTTTTTACAGTTCTTGATGAAAATAAAGTTCCAAGAATCCGGGCCTGGTGCAGAGTGCATAGGCATACTGTCTTAGATTTCTTCAAAGTCCAGTGGGGATAGGGTGACGTCTGATATATGATTTGATGTTGGTATCATATCCATGAAAAATTCATTTGGGTTATCAATCTTCAGTGCGTTTAATGGCTCACTGAAAACAGAGTCGTACTGCTTCCTCAGTAACTCGCTCATTTCTTTGTTGTCATCAGTGAAAGTTCCATCTCCCTTTCGCAGGGGCCCGATACTAGATGTGTTTTTTTTTTATCTTGATTTAGAACAGGAGAAAAAATATTTCGGATTTCTCTCTATTTCACTGATGGCCTTTTGCTCTCTTTGACTCTCCTGGGTTCTGTATGATTCTTGTAGCTTTAGTTCAATTGTTTCTATTTCTCTACCTAACCTTCTTCGCCGTTCTTGAGATAGGGTGCGACTCTCAAGTTGTTCCGCGATTCGTTTTCTTCGCCTATAGAGGGAACGCAGTTCCAGTTTCAATCTGCATCTCTTCCTCTTCTTTTTCTTAGGGGTATGCGGTTTGAACATATTTCTAGTGCTATTAAGCTTATTTTTTCCAGACACTGGTTCAAGTTTACATTTTCTAGCTGTTCTTCCCAGCTTATTTCTATTAAGTCATGGTTTATTTGTTCCCAGTTTATCTGTTTATTATTGAAATTGAATTTACTGAATTCTCCTCCACCGGGGCTCGGGACTGGTTGTGCAGGTCTGCTTCCCATGCTTGTCAGAACTTCAATTAAGTTGTGATCTGAGTAACAGATATTTGTAATCATTATGTTCCTGATCAATTCATCATTATTAGTGAAAATGAGGTCCAGCGTGTTCTCCTTCCTAGTTGGTTCTACTATTTGCTGGTTTAAGGCAAACCTGTCGCACATCCGTAGCAGGTCATTTGCATGTGTCTGTTCATTTAGGCTACTTCCTGGTATTATCTCTGATACAACTGTATTAGCCAGGTGCTTCCATTTCAGGTGCCGTAGGTCAAGTCCCCAAGCAGGATGATGTTCGGGGCTGGATTTGTGAGGCTTTCCAAGCAGTGTTCTATTTTCATTAGTTGGTCTTTAAACTGCTGATGATTTGCCTTTGGTGACTTATATACAAGGATAATAACTACATTTAAGATCTCTAATTTTGATTATCAGCACTTGTTTAGCAGCTCAGTATAGGTGAGTGTGTCCATGATGTAGAGGCTGACCCCACCCTGAAGCCGGTGTTTCCTGTCACATCTGTAAAGATTGTATTCTGAGATCCATATTTCACCATCATGGTAGTCCTTTGTGTGAGTTTCCGTTAGGGCTGCAAACACTGCATTTGCCTCATGTAGGAGACCATCTATAATTTGAACTTTGTTAGATTTACGTGTGTTTATACCATAACATGCGTGAATAACAAAGATGATGTTATCATGTTCGTGGAAGTGCTGGATGATTTACTTGGTGTAAATATCTGATATTCTGGGTGTTCATGTTGTTTATCATATCACCAATTCCTGCTCCCGGATATCAAACACCTTAATTAACCTGTTCCCACTGTCTCTGGCACAAAAAAACCTCACGGCGATTGAGTTGGAAATCTTTAAGATATCTGTAAGCGGCCTCGTCAGTCTTAAGACCCTCTGTCCTTCACAATATTCCAAGACGAAGAGCCTCTACTGCTGCTCTCCTCCTTCGCTTCCCCTTGACGTTGTTTCATCTGTCTCAGCAACCTGTCCTCTTAAAAAGAACGTCGTTTTTGGCCGTTTGTCCGTATGGCCGGATATGAACGTAATTTGAAAATGAAAAGAAAATGAAAATAAATTTGGAATTAGTTTTTTCAACAACAGTACGGGTCCTCTGATAGGTTAGGTGGGCAGGAAATTCACATAAAGTTTCAAAACGGTATGAAAAACGTTAATTGAAAGTTTCCTCTTCTAAGCTTGCCGAGTAAGCCGGACGACTCAAACAGAAAACGGAACAGTACGTCACTTTTGAGAGTCGATTTCAGATAATTTCAGATTCAGATTTCATTTCAAATTACGTCCAAATTTGGCCATAGTGCGCATACGAGCCAAAAGTGACGTTATTTTTAAGAGGACGGGTTGCTGTCTTAAGCAGGGACTCCAACTCTGCCCTCAGAGCTCCACATAGCTGCCTCACTAGCACCAGTTCACTCATTACACCTTCCATTTTCAGTATCAAGAGGAGTTCCACCTAACACACCTTCTCACTGTGGCTGACTGTGCAGTGAACTGCATTATCCAATGTAGTGTGTATGTGTGTGCTTACTAGAGTATGAACATTAATGTTCTTAGGCACTGAACTACAGGCGAGTGTCTTTAACTTGTATACCGTGCAAGGTGATGGAGAAGATTGTGAGGAAAAAACCTGGTAACACATCTGTAGAGAAGGGACTTCGTGACGCACCACTAACATGGGTTCAGGGAGGATCAATTTTGCCTTACAGGTTTAATAGAATTCTACAATCAGGTGACAAAGATTAAGCAAGGAAGAGAAGGTTGGGCACACTGTATTTTCTTGGACTGTCGGAAAGCCTTTGACATAGTCCCCCATAAGAGGCTGGTGCATAAGCTGGAGAAACAGGCAGGAGTAACTGGTAGGGTGCTCCAGTAGATAAGGGAGTACCTAAGCAATAGGAAGCAGAGAGTTACAATGAGGCGTGAGATCTCTGATTGGCGTGAAGTCACCAGTGGAGTCCCACAGGGCTCTGTACTCGGACCTATCCTGTTTCTGTTATAGGTAAATGATCTCCCAGAGGGTATAGACTCATTCCTCTCAATGTTTGCTGACGACGCCAAACTT